TTGGGTCTGAGCTACGGGTCTGTGGGCTTGCCTCCTTTGGAGTTTCAACAGCTTCTGCTGACCTCAGCTATCAGCCAGGGGAAGAAAGTTCTGCTGGTTCAGAACTACAGAATAGGGGCAGCTAGGTGGCACAGTTGGATAGAGTACCAGCCCTGAAGTCAGGAGTACCTGAGTTCAAATCCAGTCTCAGACACATAACACTCACTAGCTGTGTGACTCTGGGCAAGTCACTTAACCCCAACTGCCTCACTAAAAAAAAAACAAACAGAACTACAGAACAGCTGGCTCCCTTTTGTTCTGGGACTCCTGCTTTGGTTATTTCTCTGCAGGCTTCAGCCTGGTTTGGAGGTTGGAACTAAGACCCCACTCAGATCCTAGAGTCCAAGCCACACAGCGGCTGCTTGCCTCTGAATCTGCTCCTTGCTCAGTAACCAGCTAAGGACCCCTGATCAATCCTCACCTTAGAATGCCATCCTCCAGCAAAGGTCCCCCCCTCAGTCTACCCTAGATCTGTGGCCCAAAACTAGGTAGTGAGCGACAGAGCTGCCAACTGGCACCTTTTCCAAAACAAGTTTAGGCACCTCTATGCTGGATCTGGGACCTCTTCCTGCCCCTTTCACACTGGAATGCTCCCAGCAGCATGTTCCTCACCAGACCCTGTCCCTCGTGTCCACATACTTCTCCCTATGCTGACATGGGCTGGAAAAAAAATGACTCACTTTCATTTTTTTTTCCCTTGGATTTCCTGATCAGGAATAACTCTGGTACATTTTCTAAATCTGTTTGGAGGTGGGGAGGGGGAAGGGAAAGGGAAGAAGGTGTGGAGGGTGGAATATACCCTTTTTGACTATTCCACTAACTTGGCTCCCTCCAGCCCTTAAATTTACTTTTAATGGGACTCAAAAGAACAAAGACTTTTTTTTTACAAGCTTAGGCAATGTATTATTCAATGAATTCTTCGAAAGAGTTAAGTAAAACAATGCCTTATATGATCTAGAATTAATTAAAAATGAAAAGATCAGCCAAAATAGAAAGATGCACTTTAATCTATATTGATATACTAAGCAAGACAAAATATCCATCCTATATTGGTTTTTCTAATACAGATAAGAAAATTTTGTTTGCTAATCATAAAAAAAAGGAGGCATTTTGAAAAATGTCCTGTCATGGAAGGTGGCATAGTAGGTACAGTGGAAAAGGATGCTGAGTTTGAAGTGATAAGACCTGAGTTCAAATCCTGACCCAAATATTTAAAATTTGTGTGATTTTGGGTTTTACCTCTCAGGCCACAGTTTTTTCATCTGTAAAATGAAGGAGCTGGACTAGATAATAGCTTCTAAGATTCATCCTAACTCTAAATCTTAATAGTGCAGTTAGTATTGCTAGCGCCCACATTCCCAAGGAAGAGAAGAACCCCAGATTATTAAGTATGGTAGTCAATACTTTCTTGAGCTACTAACATACTGATTGATTGCTAAGCACTATGCCACAATCAGAGGTATGTGGTATAGTGAAGAAAGTCAGAAAATCCAGTTCAAATACCGTCTCTTATATTTTATGTGTGACCTTCAGCAGGTTGTTTTACCTCTCTGGGCCTTGATTTCCTCATATAAATCAGAGATGGATAGTGGTAGACTAGAGATTTCCAAGGTCCCTTCCAGTTCTAAAGCTATAATCCAATGGGGCTGCCCTGTTCAAGACTTATGATAAAATTAGGGATGCATGTTGTATACATAAATAAGCAAACATTTTTACCCCTTTGTGAACTGAAAAGGGAGTGAGGGGTGGAAGCCAGTGATGAAGAAAAAAGGTTCCTCTTACATCTGCTTCAAAAGGTATGTTTATAGTAAATTTCACCTTCTGGTTATATGTACTGTCACTGTATAACTTTGTTTCATTGCTTAAAAAAAAATGCAGTTCAAGAAAACATCTAGCCATCTAAAAGACAGGCTATTGATTATAGCATAATCTCTCTGGACCAAGTACTGAGAGAACATTTTCTTTATTCTTTCAGTTTTGTAACCCTAAACACTATCTTCCTCCCAAATTTAATGATAATACTGTATAGTTCTACAAGATTCTCTAATCCTGAATACTCACCCTACATTTCCACTAAGATAATACACCTAATTTTAACTATAATTTTTGAACATTAGATATTAATTCAACATTTTAATGCAATCCTACAAAAATAACAATTTTCTATAATTTTAATAAAATTTCTATAAATTTTTTTGTCCAAAAAATTTCAAAGAATTTTAACTTCAGACAATATTACTTCTCACAATTATCACAGGATGCAGCTACGATATTTCAGAACAAGCTTTTCCACTTACTCTCATCCCATGAGAGTCACCCTTTGTTTAGATGGCTTGTGAGGGATTAATGACTTAACTGATGACTAAACTCATTAAAATTAATTGAGCAAGATGCTAATAAAATAAGCAGCAACATCAGATTTTTAAATGAAATGCAATGACATCTGATGTTTCAGAAAGGTCCGGCCACATGTGATATCTATGTAGTGCGTGTATGAACAGTTCTTTTATTCATATCTATCTAGGGAATAATCAGAAAGGGGGGGGAGTCCTTTGTCAAACAGATGGAAAACAGATAATAAATTTTAAAAAAAACTTAATCTTTAGCCTTCTATTTCCTTTCCTCAAAGCTCTCAAAAGAAAACAAAATGAAACTCTTGTGAATTTATTTATTTGAGGTGCTGGGTTTTTTGGGCATCCAAGTATGGTGGCATTGTTAAAATACGGACAAAATCAGTGAAAAATTTTCTGCTCCTTTCTGCAAGGCTGGCTTACTTAAATACATAAAAAAGATTAACTATACATTATCTGAAGTCAAACCAAAAAGTATTTAAAACCAGAATCAGAGTTCAGTAAACCGAATTTCAAAAAAGAGTAAGGTGTTACACTGGTAAATATTCTGAACTAACATCTGGGGTATGCAATTAGATTATGCAGATATTATAAATTAGTCACTGGTAATGATGAATAATCACTAATGAATGACCCATGATCACTCAGAACATGGTAAATGTTTTTTCTTATTTTAAAGCTTGACAAAGTTATCACTGTGATACAAGAGTATCTTAGAGTAACCTATGTTCAGGAAGTATTTTAAAGGTGGGGAGTGAGGACGCTATTCTTTGTCACTGTAATAAAAACTTGTGTTCATTAAGGAAGTATTTTAAAAATTAAACATTTTAAAGGTGGGGAGTAAGGACACTATTCTTTATCATTGTTAATAAATATAACTTTGTTGTGGTAAGAAAATGTTTGTAATGGAAAAAGTCATATACATACTAATTTAATGATAAGATACAAAGCTCAATTTATCGTAGACAAAACTGGGGAGGAAAAGAATAAAGAAATGTATGTTATGTATATGTATATGTATGTATATGTAAATGTATATGTATCTATACATAGATACATGTATATGTATATGTATCTATACATATATATATATTATTCCTACATATCCGTTCACTTATTTTCTCTCCCATTAGATTGTGAGCTTCTTGATGGCAGGGATGTTTTTTGCCCCTTTTCATATCTCCAGCTCTTAGCTTAGACAATTTAACAAAAACAACACAGCCAAAAAGCCACATTTAAGTTCACTATGAAACAAGCAGGTTGACTAAATGTACTCAGAATTTTATCAGTAGGCAACATACTATGACTTCTGATAAATAACACTATCTTTGTAAAACAGTCAATATGGTTACAATAAAAGGAAAATATTTAGCCTTATGCTAGAAAAACTGAAAATTCCACAGCGTACTTCGTATTAAATTTCTGAAGTGTATTATTTAGGACTGGTGGGAAAGTAATCAATATTGTCTTTTAAAGTTCTAACATATGATATAAGTCTAAGTAGAAATATGTAATAGTATACAGTTACCAATGCTTCCTGAAAGGGTTGCTATCATTTCTTTATATAAGAATGCCCATTATACCAATTATTCTTTGAATTTTTTTAAAAAGTCTAATTCAAGGAACCACCTTTAAATAACTTCTAAAAAAATTCCTAATCCTCCTTTGGAAAAGTTGGTCTACTATATATGTAGATAACATATATTATTACATACTACATAGTGAGAACTGTTCAGCCTCTACGAACAGTACATAAATCACATCAGAAATCTTAGTGTTCTATCATTGTGACTAAGAAGCAAAGATCTTTGCACACATTCTAAAACACTAGCAATGTTTCTTAACAGTCAAAGCAGGACGCAAGTCAAAAGCTGAACTGTTTCAAAAGTGATGACTGGGCTATCAATGCATTGGGAGTTGGCTGCTATAAACCAGGCAGTTCACAATTAAAACAGAAAACACTGACTTTTTTTTTTTTAAACAAAGTGCTGGCATGGAACGATAAAGCATTTCCAGTTCAGGAAAAATCACGTTCCCCTGTAACTCTGCCATTAATGCAACAAGGAATAACATCAGGAAAAAACAACTTTCAATAAGAAACTTTCCCCCTAAACTATCTACTTTTTTTTAAAGGGGGGGTGGGTCATTAGAATTTGACAGCGCTATGAAAAACTAAAATAATTACTCTCAAAATGACACATCAACCAAAATAGAGCCAAAATGGAAAGACACTACTTTTGAAAATCAAGGGGTGGGGGGCGTGGAGAGGGAGAATGGGGGGGTAAGAAAGTCTTCAAATAAAGAAGGGGGGGAGTGAAAGGAGGGTTCAAACACCGAGGCTGCCAGACCAGTCTCGGGATTTCTCGGGTCACACGAGGCTGGGAGTGGGGTTGGGGTCTGGCCCCAGGCCCCCGGGAAGAGGGGAAACCCAAGCTCGGAGGTGCAGGTGTGTCAAACAACTAAGTCGGGGGCTTGGGGCTGGGACTCAGAGCAGGAGGAAAGTGATAAGCACGGAATGCGGGGCGGGACCCCCAGACTCCCCTCCCCCCTCGCCCCAGCCTCACTGCCCACGGCCTTGGGGGGGTGGAGGAGAAGAGGACAGAGGCTCACCTGAGTTCACCGCGGCGCTGGGGGGCTCAAGGGAGGAAACTGCCCACCGCTGATGGGAGGCGGGGGCGGGACGGGCCCCTCGGTCCACCCCCAACAGCTAGGAAGAGAGGCTCCTGAGACCCTACCCTGCACTTCCCCGCTCAACCGCCACCCCTCCGGCGCCGCCGCACCTCCTCACTGAGAATTTGAAGTCAAACCCGCCAGGGTCACTTCCGGCGGTGGCCGCGGCGGCCCAGGCGACATCGGCGCATGCGTGGCGGAAAGGGAACGCCCCGGGAGCGAGGACGAGCGGGGCGTGCGCGCGCCTGCTCTCGCTCCCTGGGGTGGCGCGTAGAAGTCGCCAAGGGGGTGGGGCCGGAGGCGAGGACCACCGCAGCGTTACCTGTGGCGAGCGTTCTAAGCGCTGTCGCAGCATCCCCCGCGGCCTCGGCCGAGGGGACCGAGCGTGCGGAGGCGGAGCCTGGGCCGCATCTTGGGGGGTGGCTCTCCGGAAGATGTAGGCTGCGGTTAGCGAACCCTCCCCCATTCCACCCCACCCCCGCCCTCGCTGACAGGGGTCTGAGGCGCAGCCACCCCTTGTCTAAGCCGGAAAAAAGACCAAGTGTGTCTGGAGAGGCAGAGAGATAGTTTACACGCACATACACGCACACACACGCACACGCGGGATTCTCAGCGTCTTAGTGCGGCTTTGATAGATACAGTCTATACACACACACACTTGGAGTCCCAAAAGTGTTGGTGCAGCTTTAAACTTTAATAGCTTTTGAGACTGTAGTGTGTGTATACACATATGTATATGTGTGCACACACGTATTTGTACCTAGTCATGTACATATATGTATGTGTACTTATATAATTATATGTATGCATTAAATATAATTTAATTTGCATTCACTATGTAGACATTTAATTTTATTTAACATGCATGCATGTGTGTATGCATAATATACACATATGTGTGTACATATATACACATGCATTGTATATACACTTGTCGCAAAAGTTATTAGAGCATTTTTTTATAACTGCACTAAGACTTTTGGGACACCTGGTATTATTGCATATTTCTCCCATATTCAGCTCAGACTCGCCTTTTCAGTATTAGCTTCCTCCATTCTATGCAGCAGGATAGATAGCATTTATGCAGGGCTTAAAAGGTTTGCAATGTTTTGTATGTTACCTCATCTGATCCTAATGACAATCCTATGAGTGAGATATTATCCCTTTTTTACAAATGAGGAATTGAGGCTGAGAGGTTGTGTGACTTGTACGCAATCATAGCCAAGAAAATGTATACAGAAGGACTTGAACCAAGGCCTTCCTGTCAGTACTCTCTACTACTGTCAAGGAGCTGTCAACTAGTTTACCAGTTGTTGCTGAAATACTCTCTGAACTTTCTTTAGTTACCCCTTCCCATCCATTTAAAATACTCTCACCTTGCCCTCATATCTCAGTGAAAATTTTGAGGCCATCATCTGAGAGCTCCCTCTTCTCTCCTCACATCACTTAGATGCTTTCTGTTACTATCTCCTCCTTCACTCCTGTCTCACACAATGAGGTGGCTCTTCTCCTTGCCATGGCAAACATCTCTACAAATACAAGTGATCCCATTCAATCCTGTTTCCTGTAGCAGGTTGCCCCTTTTATCATCTTCACTTCCTCATTTATCTCCAATCTCTCCTTTTCCACTGGTTGCTTCCCTATTGCCTACAAACATGCCCATATCTCCACCATCCTCGAAAAATCCTCCCTTGATCTGTTCATTTCCATTAGCTATCATCTCATATCTCCTCCCTTTTTTGGTTAAATTCCTTAAGAAGGCTATCTATAATCAATGCTTCTCCTTTTCCTCTTACTCTCTTCTTAACTCTCTACACTCTGGCTTCAGACCTCATCATTCAAACAAAACTGCTCTCTCCAAAGAGGCCAATGATCACTTAATTGCCAAATCTAATGGCAGATTTGTTGTTTTCAGTCAAAAGTTCAGTTGTTCAGTAAAAAGTACTTTGTTTTCCTACTATTGTTGTTCAGTTGTTTTTCAGCTAAACATAAGATAGGAGGGAGTAGAGGTGTTCACAGTGTCTTGGAAAGTTTAAGATTCCCCATTATTGAATCTTTAGAAAGTCAGTCAACTTGATTGAACCAAGGAGTTCCTGGACCCAGACCGACCATTGCACTTCCCTACCATCTCTATGTCACTCTGGTGAAAGTAAACCCTCCTTCTCCCTTTCTGACCCCTTTCTTTCAACTCTAGCTCTGACAACAGTAATTTAAATCAGCCCTACCATTCCTGGAAAGGACATACCAATCAATGGCCCTGTGACTCCAATCACCATTCCCTCTGCCTTCCCTGTCCAAAACACTCTTCTCTATGAACTCACTCAAAAAAAGGAAAAGGATAACAGATGGATCAAAAAATAGAATCCAACAACATATTGTTTACAAGAAACACACTTGAAACACAAAGTTATATGAAATTTAAATGAGGGGCTAAAGAAAAACTATTATGCTTTAGCTGAACTCAAAAAAAGCAAGGGTAGCAATCATGGAAAAAGCAAGAGCAAACATAGATTTGATTAAAAGAGATTAACAGGGAAACTACATTGTTCTGAAAGATATCATAGACAATGAATTAATATAAGTACTTAACTTATTTGTACAGAATGGTAATGTATCCAGAGACTTAAAGGAAAAGGTGAGTGAATTATAAGAAAGACATACAAAACACTCCTCCCTGGCTGAGACACCTTTATATGTGTTGTGTTCTGTTAGGATGTATGCTTTTTGATGGGATTCTTTTGCTTGCCTGTATTTGTATCCTTAGCAAATTCCTGGCACATGGTAAATACTTAAATGGCCCTTTATTCATTCACTCTTTGTTCTCCATAGGGCAGGATTTGCCACTGGTTTTAGCTATATTGGATTATAAAAGCGGTTGTCATACAGACTTGGGTCATAAGTATCACCTAGGTCAGACAATCTACCTATCATACATTTGTTCACTTAGGTATCAGCCACTTGTATAAACACACAGTGTTATGATAAATTAGATAACAGGTTATAATAGCTATAATAGATAATAGGAATAAATAGATAATAGGAAAATTAATCCTTTCAAGCACTATATAATTTGTTTCAACCTTGCCAGTATGCCTCTAATTCTGGCAAACCTAGGGTCCAAGAAGTGGGTGGCAAGTCTCAAATTAGTGATGGATAATAATGGTCACCATGTACCCCTGAGGATATTTGAAGTCAAAGTAGAGGTTTTCAAACATTAGCCAAAACATCTATCCCCTTACAATGTAAGGATTATGTTGATTCTCCTGGTTCCAAAATGGGATGAGGCCAGGGATTATGGCCAAAAATCTGTCACATTATTGGCTAAGACTTTGTGCATTTGGAGTTTTGTCATATGGAAAAGTTCACATGGCAGTAAGACTCAGATATGACGACCAGAAGCAAGAGGTGGTCTATGCAGAGCAGAAGAATCTGTTGCTGGAGTTTTGCAGATGAAATACAAATCGAACGTGGGTCTGAGGTAGAAACTATGTTTGAAAAGTAAGTGGGCAATGCAAAGTCAAACAGATCCAAGATGCATATAGTATACGCAGCCCAAGGGCAGCCTATGTTCAGGGAAATTGTATGTCCAACTTGATCTGAGTTTGAAGAAAAGGTTTGTATACAATTTGTCACACGTAAGGAGCTGAGCAAATCAGAGCCCCTTAAAGTCCTGGCATATGATACATTTATAAGTCTTGTACCCTCTTGTACATCGGGATTAGCTTCAACTGTGGTCAGCTCCTAGCTTTTAGTATTATTTTCTTAATGGGAAAAAAACTGTTCTGAATGCAGTAGAATACAATGAGAATTTGGAACTCTGCCCAAAGGGCTTTAAAACTATTCATGCTCTTTGACCCAGCATTACCACTACTAGGTGGTATCCCAAAAAGATTTTTTAAAAAGGGGGAGGAGGAGAGGGAGGGAGAAGGACCCAGGTGTACAAAAATATTTATAGCAGCTCTTTTTGTGGTAGCTAAAAATTGGAAATTGAGGTGATGTCCATCAATTGGGGAATGGCTGCACAAGTTGTGGTATGTGATTATGATGGGATATTATTGTGCTATAAGAAATGATGAACAGGATGATTTCCTTTTTTAAAATTTGTATTTACTTATTTTTAGTTTCCAACATTCACTTTTATAAGATTTTGAGTTCTAATTTGCCCCACTCCCTCCACTCTGTCCTGCCCAAGACAGCATGCAATCTAATACAGGCTATACATGTATGATCATATTAAACCTATTTCCACATTAATCATGTTGTGAAAGAAAAAATCATAACAAAAGGGAAAATCATGAGAAACAAAAACCAAAAAGAGAGAAAATAATACATTTCATTCTGCATTCAGACTCCATAGTTCTGTCTCAGAATGTTTTTTTCCATCATGAGTCTTTTGGAATTGCCTTAGATTTTGAGCATTGTTCAGAAGAGCTAAGTCTAACAAAGACAGTCATCACACAATGTTGCTGTTACTATGTACAGTGTTCTCTTGGTTCTGATCACTTTACTCAGTATCAGTTCATGCAAGTCTTTCTGGGTTTTTCTGAAGTCTGTTACCATTTCTTATGGAACAATAATATGCCATTACATTCATATACCACAACTTGTTCAGCCATTCCCCAATTGATGGGCATCCTCTCAATTTCCAATTCTTTGCCACCACAAAAAGAGCTGCTATAAATATTTTTGTACATGTGCGTCCTTTTCCCTTTTTTATGATCTCTTTGGGATACAGACCTAGTAATGGTATTGCTAGATCAAAGGATATGCATAGTTTTATCGCCCTTTGGGCATAATTCCAAATTACTCTCCAGAATGGTTGGATCTGTTCACAACAATGCATTAGTGTTCCAATTTTCCTACATCTCCAAAATTTATCATTTTCCTCTTTTGTTATGTTAGCCAATCTGATAGGTGTGATGTGGTACCTCAGAGTTGTTTTAATTTGCATTTCTCTAATCAATAGTGATTTGGAGCATTTTTTCATATGACTATAGATAGCTTTACTTTCTTCATCTGAAAACTGCCTGTTCATATCCTTTGACCATTTATTAATTGGGGAATGACTTGTATTCTTATAGAGTTGACTCAGTTCTCTATATATTTGAGAAATGAGGCCTTT